CTGAGAGGCAAAGCATGTGCATTCCAAGCCTACAGTATTATTAGATCCAGACAAACATGACCTTTGCTCACTCAAATGTTCGTTCTCTGAATCCAACACATTTTGGAGGAGATGTACAACATGGCCCTCAAGCAACAGCTTACACAGCCACATATCCATGGCAGCCATAAATCATGTTCAACTCTCAGAGATGTTGTGGAAATAAATGGAAGAGGGCCAACAGGTATCGATGAGGAAAGAACTAGCAAGCACTGCTCTGCTGCAGCGCCCATCCCCACATATGTTCAGCTTCTTGGTACACACCAATTATGTTCAGTATTGATGGGACTTTGAACACACATCCCCGTCCATTCAATTATTGACAGGACCAGCTAGAGAATTAAAAATGCCCTGCTGCAAAGGGCCAAGACATAGGACAATGCATGTAGTTGTGTAATCTCCAGTGGCTGCCAAGCTGGTCAGGCAATGGATGCAAAAATTAATTATGCCAGGGATTAACTCCAGGGAAGACAATTATGTCTTGCGACACCAGACAGAGGATCCGGCTCACATTACGACGGCTGCCATTGGGTTGTTTCATTCGAGGCAGAGGGAAACGGCAGCCTCCTTTCACCCTCTGTGACTGTCACAGCTAATCACGAGGAAGAGAAACAGCTCCTGCCGGGTATGTCTGGCTTGCGTTGTAGTCATGCGGTATGGTACCTGCCACATCAACTGCCACTGTCATGGGTAAACCTGATATAAATACACCAGCGATGGTGAGTGGGAGGGTGTGTCCTCAGAACAGAGAGTAGGAAACGAGAAAGAAGTATGTCTAGCACATAAACACAAACACACAGAGAGTTCAAGTAAAAATCCAACAGGGAAAGGGCAGCTCTAATACCCGATCCCGGCTTAGTGGGGATTTTTACAAGGACACAATACACGGCATGGAAGATTAAGGTCACAAGAATTGCTGTAACTGGGAGCAGCCTCCATACAGCCTGTAAAGGATCATTTCTATCCTGCAACTGAAACGTATTTTTAATAGCAAATGGAACAGATATATTTTCCTGTAATTGCTCCAAGAGGAATAGAAGGTCTTCAAAATAGGCTAGCAATACACAGTTGCATGGATATGGGTGACACATCTCCAGTCAGCAGAACTAAAGGCCACACATAAACTGGACACAACTTGTTTATAGATTACAGGAACAAGGGTTGGCTGCCATGTATGGGGCCTGGATCCTGAATCGGGCAGCCCGCTGCTGACCAATACCACTTTCCACGTAGGGTGCCATCAGCACAATACCGGGCTAACGTTAACACGGCACCCCGGTAACCACCGGATGCTCCCCCCTCTTCTGACGGGGGGGGGGAGGATAAGCAAGCAAGATCCAGGGCTCATGTCACATGCCAACCTGGAAGTTGTGACAAGGAACCAAAAACACAACAATCATGCAATGTGAGTGGGATGGATCAGCGAAGCAGGCCCGATCTATCCGTGCAGGGGATTCCTTTCCTTACCCAACCCCATCCCATTTCTATTTTATATCACCTAGACCAGGGCTTCTTAAACTTTTTCCACACTTGACCCCTTTCTACCTAAGAAATTTCCCCCCCACCCCAAGTCTATAAAATAGGTATAAAACCCAAGCATTTACTGATGATAAATCAGCAATTGCAAGGCTTGCTAAACAGATTGATTTTCCTTTTTATGAAGGGCAGCTGAAGCAATTTCTGCAGAGTTCACTGTAAACACGGCACATTCTTGCTAACAGGTTTCTGTAGATGTCTAGGTGGTATCCAGAAACTTTTTACTGTTGCCAATTTTTTTGTGACCCTAACATTGAGCTAAGGGGACTCCATTCAGGTTCAGGACTCATATTTCAAGAAGCAGTGACTTCAAATATGCTGATATGGGAGCAGAGGTTGCAAATAAAGACCAGAATGTAATAATTATATCACACCATTGTCCTCAGTCTAGTATATATTCAGTATCTCCTATCTGGAAATCCAAAATCCTAATCCAAAATCATCCAGGCTGAGACAGTGACACCTTTGCTTTCCAATAGTTCAATGTGTACAAACTTTCATGCTCAAAATTATGAAAAATATTTCTCTTCAGGCTATGCGTATAAGGTCTATATGAAAATAAATTATTATTATTGCTTAGACCTTATGTTTGGGCTCCTTCTCCAATACATCTCAATACGTATCTGTAAATATTCCAAAATCTGAAAAAAAATCCAAGCAATACTGGTCCCAAGCATTTCAGATAAAGAGATATTCAACCTCTGGGTCCCTTGGGGGTGCAATGGGTTAAAACACTGAGCTGATGAACTCGCTGACTGGGAGGTTGGCAGTTTGAATCTGGGGAGTGGGATGAGCTCCCACTGTTAGCCACAGCTTCTGCCAACCTAGCAGTTCGAAAACATGCAAATGTAAGTAGATCAATAGGTACTGCTCCGACGGGAAGGTAATGCCGTTCTGTTCAGTCAAGATCTTGGAGGTGTCTACGGACAATGCTGGCTCCTTGGCTTAGAAATTGAGATGAACACTACCCCCCGGAGTCGGACACGAGTAGACTTAATGTCAGGGGAAACCTTTACCTTTACTTTATTCAACCTCTACTTCTCTATCTTTTCAGGTACACACAAAACACAAACATTCCCCCAATCCAATATTCTTAGGAAATCCCAACAGTGTCAGCAAATATAGGTTGCTGGGGATGAGAAGAGCTGAGGATCCACATCTAAAGGGAGGCCACTACAATTATTTGACAGGGATTCCAGCTGTTATCTATCTCACCACAGGACAAATCCCAGAATTCCATAGGATAAAGCCATGGAATTGGTTATCAAATTGCAATAACTCTGTAGTGTGAAAGAGGCCTATGACTCACCCAAGCCATTCATGCTCCTTTTACAAAGTAATAAGAGATGGGAGAGGAAAACAGTGGACAAACCTGTCCAGCCTGTAACTTTGTGGAAAAGCTCATTTACATATCTAAACTAATGATAAAAAATGACAAAACATGATGGGAACACCCAGGGAGAGGAGAAAAAAAACCATAGAGGAGATGAAATACTTTTGTGGTAGAAATAGTTTTGATTCATATGTTCAACCCTTACAGAAAGACTAAAAACCTTTGAAATAAACAATAAATTCGCTGACAGAGAAATAAATAATACATTTCACATTAAAGATCCAATTCCCCAAAGTCGGTCTTGCTGATCTTAATGAAACTGGCTCTCAGGAAAGCTTGCTCAGGATATTTTCATTTCCAGGTGACAATACAGTTATACTTTGAATGTGGGAAAAAGAGTGTGTGATTAATGTGAATATAGGGTTGAGAAATAATTGGAGGAACTCTATTCCACCCACCCACTAGTGATACAAAGGATCACAGAGCTGGAGAAGATCTTGTAGTCCAACTTCCTACCTGAAAAAGGAACTCCAGACCTTTCTGGAGAGCCTTTGCCACAAGAAGAGTGGCTTGGAGGTCACAAAAACTTCCATCAAGGGAGTTAACACCACCCATCCATGCTTATAACCCAAAAACTACTATAAAAACAAATAACATTATAAACTACAAGACCCTATTCCTTAAAACCCTTGCAGACTCATGGCAACTATGGCTTCCCTGGGTTGTTGTAGGTTTTTCGGGCTGTGTGGCCATGTTCTAGAAGCATTCTCTCCTGACGTCTCACCTGCATCTATGGCAGGCATTCTTAGAGTTTGTGAGGTCTTCCCTAATTGAGTCTATCCATCTGGAATGTGGTTTTACACTTCTATATTATCAAGCAAATCTTGTCTTCTTTAATGAGTCATGTGTTCGTGTGATATATCCAAAGAATGGCAGCCTTCATTTTGTCTTCTTGGCTTCTAGCGAGAGTTCAGGCTTCATTTGCTCTAGGACCAATTTATTTGTCTACAGAACTGTTTTCCAACATCACACCTTCATATCACTTCTTCCTTTTCACTGCCCAGCTTTCACAACCACAGAAAGAAATGTGGAATATAATGGCAATGGCGTGGACAATCCTAACTTTAATATTCAGTGATCTATCTTTACACATCTGGACCTTGCCTAGTTCCGTCATAGCTATCTTTCCAAATCCCAGTATTGTTCTGATTTTTTTAACTTCTATCTCCAATTACTACTGTTTATATTATCTGCAATATTACAGTAGAGTCTCACTTATCCAACATAAACGGGCCGGCAGAATGTTGGATAAGCAAAAATGTTGGATAATAAGGAGGGGTTAAGGAAAAGCCTATTAAACGTCAAATTACGTTATGATTTTACAAATTAAGCACCAAAACATCATGTTTTACAACAAATCAACAGAAAAAAGCAGTTCAATACATAGTAAGGTTATGTAGTAATTATTGTATTTACGAATTTAGCACCAAAACATTGCAATGTATTGAAACAGCTGTGGATCCGGGCTGGAGGCAGACTACTTTGGATAAGCAAACGTGGGATAAGCGAGACTCTACTGTATATTCACTCAGAAAGTCTCACAATGAGATAAAATTGTCACTGAAGCTGCTGACACAATAGATGAAAAGGAACTGAGAAGAAAGAGCTGACCCACACTAAACTTAGGCATTATGGGGAGACAGTGCAGGGCTCTCATCAAACATCACTTGAATCTATAACGTTTTGATCATAGTTCCATGCAGACCCAATGCCATTGCAGAGACCACTAATGAAAACAATTTTTACCATCAATGCATTTCTCCTGATGCTCACCTGAAATCTGCAGCCTTACAATTTAAACCCACTAGATCTATTTTTACTCTCTGGAATAGCAAAGAATAACTCTTTGTGCTCCCTAAACAGATCTTATTTCAATGTCAGTAAGAAGAATCCAGGTTTTACTGCTTAAGTCCCATAAAATCACTGTCAACATGCAAAATCTGTAGTCCATGCTTCCACTGTAGGGCTGAAGCTCACTCTATGCCGAACAAAACCTTACAATTTTAGTTGGGTTTTTTTTTAGGTAAGTTACCTGTAGTAGCTTTCTTCTCTCCTTTCTCCAGCTTGGCCTGGGATGACTCAGGATCTCCACTCTGCTCCATTGGCTGCTCCGCCCTTTTCACCGCTGTGCCTTTAAAGCTCATCTGAAGCTGGCTGGTGTACTTCTCATGCTGAAATGAAAAGGCGAGCAAAATAATGAACACTATTCAATGTGGAGCAAGCAACCGTTGCAAAAAAAGTCTCAGAATAACAAAGAGCAGGCAAAGAGAAGTGCCCTATAATTCTAGCACTAGGGTCTACTATCCTGTCATCCTATTCCTTACACAATTCCCCACTATTATGGTGGCTTGGCATGGTGGAAGCTACAATAATTCCACCCCATTCTAGATGGAGGAATGTCATCCCACATGGAGCCCACAGTCATTCCCTCCACAGAGCCAGTCAAAAACTTACTGCTGCACAAATAGACTGACTTACACATGGAAGGCCCACTTTTTTCTTTCCTAGAGAAGAAGACTAGTTATCCAGCTGCCCTTCAGGTGTTCATCCATGAGATTTAGAGACCTGCAGAACCCTTGTGAAGAACTGTGGTCTTCCTTGGTCTAGATCAGTGGTTCCCAACCTGTGGTCCATGGTCCACCATTACAAGAATGAAAATATGGTTCGTGGCCTCATCATTACTACACCATTGCCTCGAAACCATGCATCGACGAGAGCGGCTGGTCTCGCAAAACCCTTATAGTGCCAAGGCAACAGGGATGTTGGATGGGGAGAGACTGACTATCCACAAAATATTACTACTACCATATCAGCTCTAGATTATTAAATATTGTTTTCTGTGGGCAAGCAGATGGTGACTACTGGGTAGCATTATGTTCAGTATCAGAAACTTATTTATTTGTTTATTTTATGCATTTCTACCCCGCCCTTCTCCCCACTAAGGTGGACTCAGGGTGGCCAACTAGAAACTAGATGTGGTCTATCCAATGCAATTTTCTGAATCAGCACCCCAAGTGACCAAACCAAATCTAAAGTTAACCAAAATCTGGTTCATAATCCTTTTGGTACTGATATTGGAGAGTGATCCCTGCTCAAAGTGGTCCATGGTCAACTGGTCTCTGATAAAAAAAAAGTTTGGAACCACTGGTCTAGACATTGGGTCTTTTCTGGTGGATTTTACATGCATATAAAGATCTAACTATAACAGCATTATTCCATTCTACTGTATCTTTCATACTGGTTTAATGACATCTATAGGACAGCCCCCACTTCAGACTTCAACTATAGTGTAGAGGCAGAACAGATTAACCTTTGCCCATCTGCAGTGTTTCCTTGATGCTAATCACAAACACACACAGCCATTGCTATCAACCTTGTTAGTTTTTTAACTGGGTAAACAGAAGGTGTTGAATGAAGAAAACTGTGCTAGCTGGAAAGGATTTAATTTTATCTCCATTCCATGCAACAATCTTGATCTAAAGTTCACCAACATCTGCTTTTAAAAATAGAATTGAGCAAATGAGGAGTCTTGCTAGGGAACTTTAGTATCTCTGTCGAATACCGGCAATAGCTTTTGACAATACACTGAAGGCAAGACAAGATGGACAAGAGTTTCCTGTTCCCAAACACACCTTTTTCAGGTGTTTGAAAACATGGAACAAAACCAGTTTATCCTTGTCCTACCACACCTATCTCTGGGCAGAAGTACACCAACCTCTAAGACAAAAGACCAGCTCCATTGCTAAAGCAGGATATTGTGGTGTTTGTGTATGCACAAGAGATGAAAGACAGCAAAAAGCCTGAAGGATCTGCAACTTCAGAACAGGGGCAGTCCAAAGCTGTAAACTAACTGGTACTCTTTTCATTTACACAGGCATCAATCAACTAGAAGGCAGAACTCTGTCAGATTGTGCTTATCTTTGTGTGTGTTTGTTAGCAAACAAAGTACAATGTGTTTATAGAGAGATGAGCAAAACAGCTTTGCTTATTTAGCCCTCCAAGAAGTTCAAGGGAGCATGTATGGCTCTCCTCTTCCTCAGTCTATTTCCACAATAATCTTGTAGGTAGACTGGCTTAAGAGAAACTGACTGACTTAAATTCCATGTCTTGGAAAGGTCTAGATCCCAGATATTATCTGAAGTTGTAATCCAACCTTCTCTAACCACTATAACACACAAACTCTCTAGCAAATCTTGCTGTCTCTTCAAATCCCTATCTTCCCACAGAAGTTCATGCAAGCTGTCCAATCATTAATTGCAAGCTTTTGTAGACTGAATTCTTCATATCATGTTTCAACCAACAAGAAAAGGGAACCAAGGAAAACTGTGTTGTCAAAAGCTTTCATGGCCCTAATCACTTTGTTGCTGTGAGATTTCCGGGCTGAATGGCCATGTTCCAGAAGCATTCTCTCCTGATGTTTTGCCCACATTTATGGCAAGCATCCTCAGAGGTTGTGAGGTCTGTTGGAAACTAAGCAAGTGAGGTTTATATATCTGTGGAATGTCCAGGCTGGGAGAAAGAACTCTAAAATGAAATGATTAAAATGATAAAGGATCTGGAGAACAAGCCCTATGAGGAGTGGCTTAAGGAGCTGGGCATGTTTAGCCTGAAGAAGAGAAGGCTGAGAGGAGATATGATAGCCATGTATAAATATGTGAGAGGAAGCCACAGGGAGGAGGGAGCAAGCTTGTTTTCTGCTTCCTTGGAGACTAGGACGCAGAACAATGGCTTCAAACTACAAGAGAGGAGATTCCATCTGAACATGAGGAAGAACTTCCTGACTTTGAGAGCCGTTCAGCAGTGGAACTCTCTGCCCCGGAGTGTGGTGGAGGCTCCTTCTTTGGAAGCTTTTAAACAGAGGCTGGATGGCCATCTGTCAGGGGTGATTTGAATGCAATATTCCTGCTTCTTGGCAGAATGGAGTTGGACTGGGTGGCCCATGAGGTCTCTTCCAACTCTTTGTTTCTATGATTTTTTGATTCTTGTCTGCTTGAGGCAAGAGTGACTGTTGCAGTTGGCCACCTTGATTAGTATTTAATGGCCTTGCAGTTTCAAAGTCTGGCTGATTCCTGCCTATGGGAATCCTTCCTTGATTAGCTGGCCCTGATGGTTTCTTGTCTGGAATTCCTCTGTTTTTGAATGCTCTATTTCATTTAAGGTTTTAATACTGGGTAGTCAGATTTGTTCATTTTAATGGTTTTCTCCTTTCTGTTGAAATTGTCCACATTCTTGTGGATTTCAATGGCTTCTTTTTATAGTCTGATATGGTGGTTCTTAGAGTGGTCCAGCATTTCTGTGTTCTCAAATAATATTCTGCATCCAGATTGGTTCATCAGGTGCTCTGCTATGGCTGACTTCTTTGGTTGAAGTAGTCTACCAGTGCCAGCTGACACCTCCCAACAAAGGATTCCCCCAGGCATGAACCAGCCAGGCTTTGAAGCTGCAAGGCCATTCAATGCTAATCAAGGTGGCCAGTTACAACATTCACACTTGCTTCAAGCAGACAAGAGTTCTTTCTCCCACCCTGGATATTCCACAGATATATAAACCCCACTTGCCTAGTTTCTAACAGACCTCACAACATCTGAGGATGCCCGCCTTAGATGTGGGAAAATATCAGGAAGGAATGCTTCTGGTACATGGCCATACAGCCCAGAAAACTCACAACAACCCAAGGAAAATTGTCTTTCTTTTCAAAATTTTACATCTCTTCTCAATTTGGGTAATCGGTCAGGGACGTATATTCTCTCATCACAATTCTGCATAAACCAACAGCTCTTGTAGCATTGCCAACATTTTCAAGTGAAGGGTCTAGAGTTCAAGATAAAGGCTTGGAAGTCTGAAGCCCTGTGTCCTAAGGGATAGGTGGAGGTGCAAGTTATACCTCCAGAAGCATTCTTGGCAAAGTACAGATCTGCCAATGCATGCACTGAGGATTAACCCTGATCCAAGATTCTCTTCAGCAAAATGCTTTGGGAATTTCTCATGGGAATTCTTCCTTGAAATGAATGGGAGCAATGGTGGGAAAGTGCACCTTTGCTTTTGCACAACATCTTTTCACAGCAACGCAGCTTTGACAGCGAGAACTCTTGTTGAACTCTGCGTAACACCTGCCACGTTCTTAAGAAGCAGGAGCATGAAAACCTCTGGAGGAAGCTGTTCATTTCAATAGGGTTAGCAACTGTTCAGGGAGCCCCCGGTGGTGGAAGGTGTGCTGCTGAACTTGCTGACCAAAAGGTCAGCGGTTTGAATCTGGGGAGCAGCGTGGGCTCCCACTGTCAGCCCCAGCTTCTGCCAACTTAGCAGTTCGAAAACATGCAAATGTGAGTAGATCAATAGGTACCGCTCCGATGGCAAGGTAACAGCACTCCATGCAGTCATGCCGGCCACATGACCTTGGAGATGTCTACGGACAACACCAGCTCTTCAGCTTTGAAATGGAGATGAGCACCACCCCCCAGTGTCAGACTCAACTAGACTTAATGTCAAAGGGAAACCTTTACCTTTAGCAACTTTTTGTGTTTTCCTGTTTCAATGGTAAACTCAGGAATGTATTTCACATTGATTTGGGGGATGCATTAGACTTTCTCAGTTCTTGCTTTTTCCATATACTAAGGTATTTCATTGCTTACCTTCAGTGCTTCTTCTGGGACTTTATGCTGGATTTGTTCTAAAACATACATATTAGCATGTAGAAAATAAAATAGTTAAGGAAAAACACAGGTTTAGGAGAACTTATCTACTGTTACATTAAAAGAAACCACTTGGAACCAACCCACCTCTCACAAAAATAATCACATCTGCAAAAAAGTCATGTCATAAAATTCTGAAATAAGAGCTAAATCTTTGCAAGAGATGCTAGAATGGCAACTTTTCTGAGAAAGAAGCCAGACAGATGCCCTCCTCTAGTATAGAATCATTATTAAAGACTGGGGGTGGCATACATTGTCCAACTGACTGGACAGGAGGCCCCTGGTACACACTGAAGTTTGGCTCCAGGACCCTAATGGATATCAACTGGAAAAATCAAGTTTTACTTTTTTAGATTTTTAGGCATTTTGAGTCTCTTTTTTGAGATACAAAGATAGAAATAAATATTGTTGTTGTATGTTTTCATGTCATGACTGGTTGAATTCATGGATACAGAATCCATGGATGGAGAGGGTTTGCTATATTGTCAGAAGCTGAGAAAATAACTTCTTAGCCAAAATTAGTCTTATACAAGGGTTATCCAGAAAGTAAGGTTACAAGGCACGTAGTTCTCACAGGGAATTTTTGCAGGGGAAGTTGGTATCACTGCCATGCAGCGGGAAGCCAGCAGAAGTGACCAAGCGTCCGTCATTAGTAGCTCATTGACTGGCGTTGTGATGAAGGCTAGATATGAGTGACCTCATTCTGTTTCCCTCCAAGTGCGAAGTTTGCACTGTAATACGCTACATAAATGCTAAGGGCATGAACACCGATGCAATTCATTGTGAAATAGTTTCAGTTTATGGGAAGGACGTAATGTCAAGACAGCAAGTGACAAAAGGGGTACGGAATTTCTAGATTCTTGGACAGAAGCCAAATCACTGAATGGTCCAAGGCTCCAGTCAAGAAATGTGGTGGACTATGAGATTGCGAGTAATAATGATACAACAACCAAGATGCAAGAAGATAACGAATCATAATGAAGAAGTGATAGTGGTGGTGATGAGGATGAAGACAAGGATGGTGGTAAAGAGAAGGAAAGCATTACATCTTTACAAAGCTTGTTTCACAGGGTAAAGTCAAAGACTCGTCTACAACTAAAACAACAACCTGGAGCCAACCTGCGGCAAGAAACCTACAATCACTTCTCAAGGAATTCAAGTGCTCAATGAGAAAGGAATGTATGCTTCAAAATCACATGAGAAGGAGAAAGTTAATGCTATGACATCATTCCTTCTTTCCCCTTCCTCCAGTCCCCTCCTCCCCTCCCCACACATCAATCCATCCTGCTGCAATTAGATTAAGCTGTATTTCCATTGGCAGGAAGAACATTTTATCACTGCCCCAATCTAGGACATACTGCCCTTGTAATACAAAGGGAACTGTATTTATTCGAAACTACTCTCCTCACTGAAAGCTGCTCATGCTTGTGCTGTGCTTTTCATAGAATCATAGAATCCTAGAGACCTCATGGGCCATCCAGACATCCCTATGCCAAGAAGCAGGAAAATCACATCAAAGCACTCCCGAAAGACGGTGATCCAGCCTCTGTTTAAAAGCCTCCAAATGAGCCTCCACCACACTCCAGGGCAGAGACTTCCACTGCTGAACAGCTCTCACAATTAAGAATACGATGAGTCTTATAGACAAACCTTCTCTGACCTTGGGCTCTCCAGAGGGTTTGGGCTACAACTCCCTGCATTTCTGATCCTTGGCCATGCTAGCAAAGAGGTGATGGAGACGGTGCCACAGGCTTAGCATCTTGTATCTGAAAATCCAAAGGGTTTTGAAAGATTTTATAGAATCATAAAATCATAAGGTTGGAAGAGACCTTGTGTGCCAACCAATCCAACCCCCTGCAAAGAAGCAGGAAAATCACATTCAAAGCATCCCTGACAGATGGCCATCCAGCCTCTGTTTAAAAGGCTCCAAAGAAGGAGCCTTCACCACACTACGGGGCAGAGGGTTCCACTGCTGAACAGCTCTCACAGGTAGAAAGTTCTTCCTCATGTTCAGGTGGAATCTCCTTTCCTGTAGTTTGAAGCCATTGTTTCATTGCGTCCTAGTCTCCAGGGCAGCAGAAAACAAGCCTGCTCCCTCCTGACTTTCCCTCACATATTTATACATGGCCATCATGTCTCCTCTCAGCCTTCTCTTCTGCAGGTTAAACATGCCCAGCTCTTTAAGCCACTCATCATAGGGCTTGTTCTCCAGACCCTTGATCATTTGAGTCGCCCTCCTCTGGACACATTCCAGCTTGTCAACAAATCCCTTCAACTGCGGTGCACAGAACTGGACACAGTGTGGTCTGACCAAGGCCGAATAGAGGGGGTAGAATAACTTCCACGGATCTAGACACTATACTCCTATTGATGCAGGCCAAAATCCCATTGCCTTTTTTTGTCGCCACACGACATTGTTGACTCATGTTCAACTTGCTGTCCACGAGGACTCTAAGATCTTTTTCACATGTACTGCTCTCGAGCCAAGCATCCCCCATTCTGTATCTTTGCATTTCATTTTTTCTGCCTAAGTGGAGTATCTTGCATTTGTCCCTGTTGGACTTCATTTTGTTAGTTTTGGCCAATCATGTCTCTAATTTGTTAAAATCACTTTGAATTCTGCTCTTGTCTTCTGGAGTATTGACGATCCCTCCCAGTTTGGTATCATCTGCAAACCTGATGATCATGCCTTCTAACCCTTCATCTAAGTCATTAGTAAAGATGTTGAACAGATCCGGGCCCAGGACAGAACCCTGCTGATGGCACTCCACTCATCACTTCTTTCCAGGATGAAGAGGAAACATTGGTGAGCACTGGTTGAGCATCTCTTGTCAGGAATTCCAAAATTCTCCAGAATCCAACATTTGCATTCTGGTGATTAAAAGTACACAAATCACAAAATTCAGTCTTTTTATCCATCTACCAATCACTATAGTATTCCTAAATTATGGCTAACCTATCTTGACCCAATGTCCTCGTAAGACAGTTCATGGCACTGTTGGGAAGTGATGTAATATTAAGGCCAAAATCTCTTTTCTAATAATTCATTTGGATATGAGTTATTAAGAGACAACAAGCTCACTCGTCTTCAGTCTGTTCATCCCTCAAATATTTGAAGATGGTGATCATATTATTTATCTTCTCCAGGAAACTTGGGTGTGGAGCTTTATCTCCCAATCAGAGGAAGACCAGCATTTGAGAAAAGTTGGCAGGCAGGTACAGAGATCAAGTTACACTGTTTGCAACATGCCTACTGTACCACAGAAGAGGCTTGTTGTTGTTTATTCGTTCAGTCGCTTCCAACTCTGTGACCTCATGGACCAGTCCACGCCAGAACTCCCTGTCGGCCGTCACCACCCCCAGCTCCTTCAGAGTCAAGCCAGTCTCTTCACGGATGCCATTAATCAATCTTTCCCTTGGTCGGCCCCTCTTCCTTTTTCCTTTCTTTTTCCCCAGCATCATTTTCTTCTCCAAGCTTTCCTGTCTTCTCATGATGTGGCCAAAGTACTTCATCTTTGCCTTTAATATCCATCCCTCCAATGAGCAGTTGGGCTTTATTTCCTGAAGTATGGACTGGTTGGATCTTCTCACAGTCCAAGGCATTCTCAGAATTTTCCTGCAACACCACAGTTCAAAAGCATCTATCTTCCAACAATGTGATGCAGCGGCAAAAAAGCCAATGGGATTTTGGCCTGCACCAATAGGAGTCTAGTGTCTAGATCCAGGGAAGTCATGATACCCCGCTATTCTGCCTTGGTTAAACCACACCTGGAGTATTGTGTCCAATTCTGGGCACCACAATTGAAGAGAGATGTTGACAAGCTGGAATGTGTCCAGAGGAGGGCAACTAAAATGATCAAGTGTCTGGAGAACAAGCCCTATGAGGAGTGGCTTAAAGAGCTGGGCATGTTTAACATAAAGAAAAGAAGGCTGAGGGGAGACATGATAGCCATGTATAAATACGTGAGAGGGAGCAAGCTTGTTTTCTGCTGTCCTGGAAACTAGGACATGGAACAATGACTTCAAACTACAAAAAAGGAAATTCCATCTGAACATGAGGAAGAACTTCCTGACTGTGAGAGCCATTCAGCAGTGGAACTCTCTGCCCCGGAGTGTGGTGGAGGCTTCTTCTTTGGAAGCTTTTAAACAGAGGCTGGATGGCCATCTGTCGGGGATGCTCTGAATGTAATTTTCCTGCTTCTCGCAGGAGGTTGGACTGGATGGCCCATGAAGTCTCTTCCAACTCTATGATTCTATGATTCCTTCGCTCAGGAAAGGCTTAGCATAGCATTTACATCCATAAGTACACAACACCCCATAAGAAAGAAACCAAAGGTTTAACTGTAACTAATTCAATGGAGTAGATTTAGATTGGTTAAATTCACAGCTGCACAGAAGTGTTGGATTATCTTGCTTCCATGGGTTTTGATACAAAAAAGCACAAACAATCATTTGAGAGAGTCTGAAGATGTAAGAAAGGACTTTAAATGTTACAGTCAAAAACAGGCCAAGGACAGAACACATTTTTGGCACACTTGAGAAACCCTGCTAAGGTTTTTTTGCCATAGCAGACAGATGCGTGTCCTTCTGCATGAGAACACTGCTGACACAGGCAATATGAAAGAGCCATAAAGGGCTGCACGAGAAGGAAGCTGGCAGAAGGCTTTTCCAAAATATGACTAAGACAGGAGAGAGAGAGAAACCAGGAATTAGACATATGATTTGGGTTGCGAGTTATTTCATTTCAACACAAAGAGCCTGGATAGTCTCTTCCCTCCATCAGCACACGCAAACAACACAGAATGACCTCAACACACACACAAGGACTTTGGAGAGACCCGTGCCTGCTGCCAAGAAATGCCGGTCATACTCTAATCCGCTTAAAACAAAATCAGAAAGGGAAAACATTAGGAAAATTCTGCTTGCCATATCAAAAGCATATGACAACAATGCCAGAGTCAGACTAGATTAAAGATGAGGTGAAAAGGAAAAATAATATCAGAAGTGATCACAGCATCATTCAGGAAGTTATATAAAATCGATGCCTTATTAATCAGGAGGAGATTTTTACCACTGACCTAGTTATTTTAAACTGTGAGAAACAGTTCAGCAGTTTGATGAGAAGCAATCAATGAGAACGAAGGGAGGGAGAGAAGAGAATGGGAGGGTGCGCATGTCTAGGATTCACACCAGAGACCATACTACTCTCATGCGCAAGGGCTCATCTCAGAGCCTGTAAGAGATGCCAAGTTTAACATCTTCAGATCCGTGCCAAGTCCAGACATAACGTGTGCTGCATAGTTTTTCTATAATCATACCTTCCTCAGACCCACAATTATGGCCAGGAAAAGTGAAAAGAAACAAGAGAACGACAACAGAACAAAGTGTGTGGGAGTGTTTCTTTTTTTAAGAGACAGGGTTTTCAAAATAATAAAAAGGACCTTCATTTTGCCTTCAAATGGCCATTAAAATAAGTGCTGGGCAAATTTACTGTTCTGCACAAGAATTCCCTGCTGAGCATCAGTAAAACAAAACGGTAACCTTTCCATCTTCTGATTAAATTTTGGCTAGTTTTCCATCTTCTTTTATCCCCTGTTCGGGTTCCAGCTGTGAAATGTATTGGGCCACATAATGTGTTCTCAGATGACTTTGCTCGGCATTGCTTGGCAAACAGGAGCTCAACTAAAAGGACACAGCAAGCAAGTTGCATGGGATTGGTGGAAGAAACAAAATAAAGTGAGTTGCTGTGAGTTTTTCAGGCTGTGTGGCCATTTTCCAGAAGCTTTTTCTTCTGATGGCAGGCATCCTCAGAGGTTGCGAGGTTGATATATCTGTGAAATGTCCAGGGTGGGAGAAAGAACTCTTGTTTGTTTAAGGTAAGTGTGAATGCTGCAATTGATCACCTTGATTAGCACTGAATAGCCTTGCAGCTTCAAGACTTGGCTGCTTCCTACCTGGGGGAATCCTTTGTTGGGAGGTGATTAGCAGGCCCTAATTATTTCTTGTCTGGAATTCCCCTGTTTTTGAGTGTTGTTCTTTATTTACTGTGCTCATTTTAGAGTTTTTTAATACTGGTAGCCAGATTTTTCTTATTTTCATGGTTTCCTCCTTTCTGATGAAATTGTCCATATGCTTGTGGATTTCAATGGCTTCTCTGTGTAGTCTGACTTGGTGGTTGTTAGAATGGTGTAGCATTTCTGCGTTCTCAAATAATATACTGTGTCCAGGTTGGTTCATCAAATGCTCTGCTATGGCAAACTTCTCTGGTTGAGTTGCCTTCGGGCTGAAAAGGGCGGGATGAAAGTGTGGTAAATAAATAAATAAGTCTGCAGTGCCTTTCATGTTCCTTGATTTGTGGGGAATTCCAGATAAGAAACAATCAGGGCCAGCTAATTCACCACCCGACAAAAAATTCCCCCAGACAGGAAGCAGCCAAGCCTTGAACCTGCAAGGCTATTCGATGCTAATCAAGGTGATCAATTGCAGAATTCACACTTGCCTCAAACAGACAAGAGTCCTTTCTCCTACCCTGGACATTCCCCCGACATATAAACCCCACATACCTGAGATCACATTACTCAATGGGTTGCTGTGAATTTTCCGGGTTGTATGGCCATGTTTCCAACAAACCTCTTAGCTTCTGAGGATGCCTGCCATAGATGCAGGCGAAACGTCAGGAGAGAATGCTTTTGGAACATGGTCAAACACCCTGGAAATCTCACAACAACCCAGAGATTCCAGCCATGAAAGCTTTCGACAACACATTAAAATAAAGTCAGCACATATCTTTTGGGTTAAGGGCCAGTGTTTGAGCTGTTTAAAAGCTTTTCTGTTTTGTACTTTGAACCATATGCTCCGCCCGAGTATGTAGCTGATAGGGGCAGGGCTTCTTCTGTGATGAAGTGGGTCACTGACTTGATTGGGGACAGACATAGCCACCATGAGGTCTATATACTTTTTCCTTCACTTGCCAGAGCTGGGCAAAAAAAAGGACAACAGGCATTTTGCAAGGGCCTTTTGCAAAGATGTTTGGTGGAAAGGCTAGAATGTTGTTACACTGCTTATACAAAACTGAACATGAATGGAAAAAGAGCTGCTTCAAAACACCTGCACTTGCTTGAAGATGTGAGAGGATATACCTGCAGGAAGTAAACGTGATCTGCAATTCTGAAGGAAAAAGTACAGCAGCTTGCATTTAACATATTTACAGTCAAATTTATCAATGAGGATGAAGCTTTTCTAGAAAAGAACAGTAGATTCTCCTGGAAGGACAACTTATAGGGCAGTGGTTCTCAACCTGTGGGTCCCCAGGAGTTTTGGCCTACAACTCCCAGAAATCTCAGCCAGTTTATTAGTTGTTAGGATTTCTGGGAATTGAAGGCCAAAACGTCTGGGGACCCACAGGTTGAGAACCACTGTTATAGGGGATGCCTCTAAGAAAGAGAACAATTCCAAGATGAAGGAAACAAACCCTTGGAATAATGCGATACATGGGAGCAATAGTTTAGGAACCATACTGTGAGTTTAGAGCTATACAATCTTAATTTAATCAATTATTCTGGGGCATAGTAAACAAAGATCACAAAGGGGCCATAAGCATTTTGGTGGATAGAAGGACTCCTGTCAGAAAGGAAGGAAGGTAGTAGGGAGAGATTCTTCAGAGATGCAAGTTATCTTTTATACTCATAACATTAACTAATATATTGTTGAAGGTTTTCATGGCTGGAATCACTAGGTTGCTATGAGTTTTCCAGGCTGTATGGCCATGTTCCAGAAGCATTCTCTCCTGATGTTTCACCCACATTTATGGAAGGCATCCCCAGAGGTTGTGTGGTCTGTTTGGGAACTAGGAAAATGGGGTTTATATATCAGTAGAATGTCCAGGGTGGGAGAAAAATCTCTTCTCTGTTGGAGGCAAGTGTGAATGTTGCCGTTGGCCACCCTGATTAGCATTTCAGGGTGGCCAAAGCCTGGCTGAATACACAGATATATAAACATCACTTGCCTAGCTTCCAACCTCGGAGGATGCCTGCCATAGATGTGGGTGAAACATTAGGAGAGAATGATTCTGGAACATGGCCATACAACCCGGAAAATTCACAGCAACCCATTGAGTAATGTGATCTCAGGTAGCACATTTCTGAGGCTGTAAAGTACAGATTAGCCTCGGGTCATTCACTGAACTCCACGGCTGAACAGGAAACTGGGCAGATTGCATCTGATACAATCAGGCTTAGCCATCAGTAGTAATTATTGATGCATTATTTCTGTAAACCGAGCCTCATTCCTCCTGATGTGGTTGGACTGTGAATCTCAGAAATCCTAACAACATAGACAATGGCGAGGAATACTGAGATTTGAAGTCCAGCCACAAAGAGAAGGTTTTATAATTTCCACCCCACACTAAACAGTAAAATAATTATGTGTGTGTGTGTGTGGAATGTTCATTTGTGGGACTAACATAACTCAAAAGCTAGGCCTGGGTAACAACGGAAAAATTTGTTTCTAAACTCGTTTCATTTTTAGGGGGTCCATTGCGTTTCGTTTTTTTAAAGAATTCCGAATTTTTCTTTTAAAAAATTTCGTTATTTACGAAATTTCGTAAATTTCGTATTGATTCGTTAATGGCGGACGCGATTGCGCAATACGCTAAAAAACCCTCCAAATGGGACAGGGGGAACTTCTGAAGCTTCCCTCTCCCTCTGTTGTTGACTGTTGGTGTGATAATTTATTTTTTATCACTGATAAAACAAACAACAACTATAAAACTTGTACCAGACATACGGAAATAATAACGAAACAATTTCGAAACGATTTCGAAACGATTTCGAAACGATTTCGAAACGATTACGAAACAATTACGAAATGAATTGAAAAATTTGTTTCGATTTTTAGTTGCTCCTGCATGGCTCAATATCAGATCGTAAGCTAATTTAAATACGAATCAATAACGAATTACGAAATTAACGAACGAAACCGCCCAGCCCTATCAAAAGCCACTGGATGAATTGCCGCCAAATTTGAACACAAGACACTTATCAGGCCAACAAGTGACCATCACTCATAAAAGCACTGAAAACACAGCGGAAGGGACTTAAAACACCAAAAAAGGAAAAAGATGCTACAGCGTATGCACAAAATGACATATATATATACACATATATAAACTCAAATACAGAAATATACACATATACACAAACACACACACATATACACACACAAAACACATAATCACAGACTGGGCCACAGCAATGTGTGTGAAAAAGGATATCATAGCCGAAGCGGATCACATCATTCAGTTTTAACGTGATGTACTTCTGGTCAGGAATCCGTACGTCATTCACAAAAGTCTGTAGGGAAACAAAGGATAAAATGGCATTAGAAGGTCACACCAAGAAGCAGAGAAAGCAGTATTCAACATGGGACATGTTTTGCAAGAAAACCCAATCTAATCTAAACAATTCGTCTTTCCACACCTTTGCTCAGTTACCAAATAAGAGACATCCCTGGCAGCTGGTCAGTGACTCACTCCACTTTTGTATGACCGTCAATGGGATGCCTCTCTGAGGTGCTGAAATGCAACCCACCCACACCCACCTCCATAGAAAGATTCAGGACCTTGGACAGTACTATAAAAATTTATTTATAATCCACAACCTAACAAACATGGAAGTCATGGCACCACTGCCAAGCTTTGACCAGTATTTCCAAACCTTCCAGCCTCCACACCCCTCTGTGCTGGGAGGGTCCTTCTCTAATTGTTCCAGTCTGGGGGAAATGGGTTTCAGCAACATGAGTTCACTTTCCATCCCACTCAATCTCCCTAAACATTTCCGTCAGCAGGAATTTCCATAATGTCACTCATTCTGGCCTACAAGAAATGCCATTCTCAGACTCGGGATGAGTAACAATCATAACAAATACTTCCAGTGTCACTTCAGGGGAAAAGCTTGTAAGATTCATCTTGACAATGGTCCTTAAAAATATCCTTTATGGGATGTTGTATGGTTTCCAGGCTGTATGGCCGAATTCTAGCAGCATTTTCTCCTGACATTTTGCCTGCATCTGTGGCTGATATTTTCAGAGGAGTCTATGAAGATGCCAGCCACGGATGCAGGTGAAACATCAGGAGAAGATGCTGCCAGAACATGACCATATAACCCAGAAACCATACAAGACCCCAGTGATTCCGACTGCGAAAGCCTTCGACAATACATGAACTATCCTTTATGTTAGTCCACTTCTATGACCCCAGCCCCCACATTCAGGAAGAATATCTATGATAATATATAATAATAAATCTTTATTTATATCCCGCTTTTCTTCCTCATGGGACCCAAAGCAGCTTACAACATATTTAAATCATGTGAACAACTACTCAAATAAATCAATAAGTATAAAACACCATAAAATAACAATTTAAAACAATTACAATATATATTCACATTCATCAATAATATATATTCACATTCATCAAGAAACAGTATATACAAAGACCCCCAACTCCACTGACATTTTAACGCAGTTCAAAGCTAGCTTCAAACTGCGGTGGCCAGACAACAAACTTTTACAAAAGCATGCAAAACAAAGCCCTTAATGTGCATCAGTCATAGAAAGTGATGTGTCTCAAAAAGAAAGTGGAGCCAAAGCTGGGGAAATGTCTATTTTGTATTGTTGCTCTATTTTGGAGTATGACTAACGGTCATGTCCAATTACAGTAAGCCTTCCATTTTCACAGAGTTTAGGAGCACAGAACCTTCACAAAAGTGGGAAAACACAGATAAATAAACACTTTTTTTTAACCAAGACAACAGCTCTATAGGAATCTTTGGGTTTTTCAGTGCAACTCTATGCCCAGCTATACTATTTAACTTCAGACATTGCACTGGAGAATGAAAAGATTCTCAGAGAAAGTATATTCTGCAAATCTGCAAATAATCACATCCATAAAGTTAAATTCACAAATGTGGAGAGCAGACAATACAAGCTGGAGTACAATAACTCAAAACCATGATTTCTCTCAGCCAATCCCTCTGCAATGCCAGAAACAATGTTAATGGTTTAACGTTAGAAAATGTTGACCATTTCTGCTCCCTTGGCAGCCACCTCTCCACAAAAGTCAACATTGACACTAAAATTCAACACCGCCCGATCTCTGCAAGTGCAGCATTCTTCAGAATGAAGCAGAAAGTGTTTGAGGATCAGAACATCTGTAGGCAGACCAAGGTGCTTGTTTATAAAGCTACTGTCTTCCCAACTCTGCTATACACTTGAGAAACATGGACTGTCTACAGAAGTCACACTCAACTCTTGGAACGATTCCATCAGCGTTGCCTCCGAAAAATCCTGTAAATCTCTTGGGAAGACAGGCGGACAAATGGCAGTGTCCTGAAAGAAGCAAAGACCACCAGCATTGAATCAATGCTCCTATGCCATCAACTCTGCTGGACTGGTCACATTGTCCAAACGCCTGATCACCATCTCCCAAAGCAGTTACTATACTCCCAACTCAGGAATGGGAAATATAATGTTGGTGGACAGGAAAAGAGTTTTACAGGTGGGCTTAAAGCCAACCTTAAAAACTGTGGCATAGACACCAAGAACTGGGAAGCCCTGGCCCCTGAGCTTTCTCACTGGAGGTCAGCTGTGACCAGCAGTGCTGCAGAATTTGAAGAGGCATGAATAGAGGGCGAATGGGAGAAACATGCCTGACCAGGGCCGCTTTCCACCTGGAAACCAATGCTCTCACTGTGGAAGAACATGCGGGTCAAGAATAGGGCTCCACAGACACCTGCAGACCCACAGTCAAGACACTACACATGGAGGACCATCATCCTCGAACTACAAGGGATCACCTAAATAAGTTTTGCCTTATGTCTGTTATAACAGGATGTGCTTTTTATTTAATTTTAGTTTGTTAATTTATAATTCGTATTTATATGTTGGGTTGTATAAATGTTGTTATTATGGATGTATTGTTGTATTCAGGCATTGAATGTTTGCCTTTTATGTTTGGAATCTGCCCTGAGTCCCTTTGGGGAGATAGAGCAGAATATAAATAAAGTTTTATTATTATATTCTTATTTTTATAAGTAAGTAAGCGAAGTAAGGTATTAGCATTTAAAATCAACAATGGTTCAGATGTCCAGGGAGGGGGAAAACTATGGAGAAATGTCTTTATTCAAGATCGTATATCAAATAAAGGAGTTCATGTTTCCAGACGCTTTTACATGGTTAATCCTTCTTCCAAACCCATTTCAACGGACAAAAACATATGTCTTTTATTTCTTCCCTTCACAATTACATACAATCTATGAGACACTATTTATTTGTAGTGCTACAATGCCATGTATGTTTGTCAGCTAACATTTTCCTGAAATTGCATCAGGCTTGCAGGATTTATTAGACAATTTATGGAAGAGGAGATCCACTTAGAAGTCACACATCTCAGACCGAATGCCAAAGATGGGCATCTTGTGTGTGCAGACACAGGCAAAATGTTGCATAGTGGATACATCCTCTTCTACGCTGGAACAAGAAACGAGGAATGCCAACTCAGGATTTTTCCAAACCAATGAGATTTCTGGGATGAAATCTGAGACCTAGGGATACAGCTTGGTGATGTCATTAAGTGTTAGGCAATGGGTACCAATTACAGTTACTCATACTGTGTCATTTGAAAGAAACACACACAAAAAGTCCTATGTGGCCATTTTAAGGCAGAAATCTTCCATAAAGCAGCTATTTCCAGGTGAAGGTGAAATGAAGAGATTTTTCCTTATTTTGGAGACAGAACAAAACAAAAAAAACCAGTTGTTTCTAGGCCAGGTATGGGCAAACTTTGGCCCTCCAGGTGTTTTGGACTGCAACTCCCACAATTCCTAACAGCCGATAGGCTGTTAGGAATTGTGGGTGTTGAAGTCCAAAACACCTGGAGGGCCAAAGTTTGCCCATGTCAATGCTAGCCAGAAGGTAACTACAGAGCAAAAAAAGAAGTTGAGCCCTTCACTGCAATGACTAGGAGTAAAGAAGGAAGGAATTAAATCAATATGTACTAAAGCTCCTGGAAAGTCTTTGCAAGTTGCAGGAACAAATCAATTATGGCTTGGAAACTGTAGCGGACTGCTGCTCTCCTAGTGAGCTGGAGACAGGCACACAGCCTTTGCAGGTTATGTTGAATTTTAACTCTATTTTAACCTTTACTAGTCATCCTGGATCCTGATCAGGGAGACAACTTGGATGTAAACAGAGATCGAGAATCTCTCTTCCAGAATCCCGAAATACTCCAAAATTTGAAATTGTCCACATCGGTGCCTGTGAGTGACACCTTTGAAGGCCACAAGCTTTGTTTACAGTATTATTGAAAATGAGTTGCTGTGAGTTTTCTGGCCTGTATGGCCATGTTCCAGAAGCATTCCCTCCTGACATTTCACCCACATCTATGGCAGGCATCCTCAGAGGTTGTGGAAACTAAGCAGCTGAGGTTTATATAGCTGCAGAATGTCCAGGGTGGGAGGAAGAACTCTTGTTTACTTAAATGTTGCAATTGGTCACCTTGATTAGCATTTAATGGCCTTGCAGTTTCAAAGACTGGCTGGTTCCTTCCTGGGGGAATCTTTTATTGGGAGGTGTTAGTTGGCCCTCATTTCATGTCAGACATTCCCCTGTTGTTTGAGTGTTGCTCTTTGTTTACTATCCTGATTTTAGAGTTTTTTAATACCGGTATCCAGATTTTGTTCATTTTCATGGTTTCCTCCTCACTTGCCTAGTTTCCAACAGACCACACATCCTCTAAGGATGCCTACCATAGGTGTGGGCAGAACGTCAGGAGACAATGCTTCTGGAACATGGCCATACAGCCCAAAAACTCACAGTGATTCTGGCCATGAAAGCCTTTGACAACACATTACTGAAAATACTGTAAAAAAAATTACCTTCAGTCTACGTATATATTAAACATAATATCATTTTGTGTATTCACTTGGGTCCCTTCTCCAATATATCGCATTTTGCATTACATGCAAATACAGAGATCCAGAAAATACATGCTACTCCTCTATTCTGCCTTGGTCCAACCACACTGGGAATATTGTGTCCAATTCCGGGAACCACAATTGAAGGGAGATGTTGACAAGTTGATGTGGTGGTGCTGGGTACGTGGTGGTGGTGGGAATTGTTGTGTTTGTGTATGTCCTAATATATGTCCTAATTGTTGTGTTTGTGTATGTCCTAATATATATATAAAGACAAGTTGGAATGCGTCCAGAGGAGGGCAACTAAAGTGATCAAGGGTCTGAAGAACAAGCCCTATGAGGAGCAGCTTGAAGAAAAGAGAAGGGAAGAGAAGGCT